AGCGGCCACCACCACCACCACCACCACCACCACCACCACCACCACAGCCACCACCATTAGCACTACCACTGCTGCTGCTGCTGCTGCTGCTGCTGCTGCTGCTGCTGCTGCTGCTGCTGCTGCTACCGCAAAAAAAGGGTTGCAACCCTGATGCCGAGTGCGCAAAGTTCTCGAAGCTGCATGGCGCTAGTTTCAGTGTCCTTGCGAACTCCCCGCTATTAACGAGCAGCATACGTTGGGAAACCCTAAACGGATAAACAATGAATCCCCAAACCCCAAGCCCATAAATCCCTGCCCTAAAACCAATATACTCTAATATACTATAATATACTATAATATGATATACTAGAATATACAAGTATTTAATATACAATAATATATAACGTTCCGTAAGCCCTCATCTGCCCTGGAGCGTCTCAACTCCGAGGACCCGGGCCGACTTGGCGAATGCAACGGCGTCCGAGACCACCCAGGACACAGGGTCTCGGGTTGCTCGAGGGCATCGAGTTTACAAAAACGGGGGGTTTAGGGGCTTAGGGATTTAGAGTTTTGGGTTTAGGGGCTTAGGGTTTTAGGATTTTGGGCTTAGGGTCTATAACAGACTATACGGGAGCCCAAAGCCCTATTCTAATTACTAAGGCCTCTACATTAGGCTTGCGGGTTGGGCTGTAGGGTTTTAGGGTTTGGGGGGCGTGGAGGGTTCACGGCTTTGGATCTAGGCTTCTTGGGGTGCAGGGTTCGGGGTTTAGGATTATGTCATAAGTCGTTTCAGAGTTTTGCTTGTTCAGTTCGATGTTTGGAGTTTATGATGGAACTGCGGGATTTTCAGACATGTAACTGGCATGTAGGATGGGCCGATCTTTGGGTCGAGGGGTTCGACATCTTGCTTGTGTCATTCTTTTTGGGTGTCGAGCCTTGTGGGTCTTATGATTGCTCAAGGGATTTTGGGAGGTTATGAGGTGTCTACTTTGCGGGTTTACGAGAGTGGGCCGGGGCTTGGGGCTTTTGGGGGTTTAGTTTAGGGCTACCATAGAAGCCTAAACAAGTACTTACATCTTGAATTATTCTTAGGGTTCCTTATCAAGGCCCCTACATGAAGGGGTTGGACTTGCAGATTGCACTGTTCAGGCTCGAACATCATTTGCGGCTTTAGCTTGAGGCCTAAACTCGAAACCCTGAGCTGAACCGAAAAAATCTTCCATCCTCGTCTCCGAAGCCCCAAAAGCAGTGAAATCAAGAAGCCATGCTCCAGGAGTTGGGCGCCGTTCTCGCGGACGGGAAGGGGGGGGGGGGCTTGGGAGATCAGTGAAAAGCTTGTGGTATTCCGGGGGTTCTTAGACTACTCGTAGGGTTTAGGCCGTGGGCTCGGAAACTTGCAGGGCATGGGGAGCAAGTCTATTGTCATATATAGGTAGATATACAAATAAGAGAGAGAGAGAGAGAGCAAAATACATTTGTATATATAGAGAGTGAGATACATGTGTACATATATATTCATACATACAGAGATATAAACATGTTAGCCACGTACAGGTGGATAGATAGACGGATAGATGGATGGACGGAATACAGTAGATACATGGATAGCCCGGGTTTGTCTTTTTCGTCCCATTTCCCTGCCTCCCCACGAATGTATTGGATGGAATGTTACCCTTAGGCGTTGGAATGCTAGGTTATGCTATGCTATGTTATGTTGTGTTTTGTTTTGTTATGTTACATTGCTATATTGTATTGTGGAAGAACCGCCAAACTTACGTCTTGTCACCTAAACGTGAAATTCCAAGATGCGGGTGTTGGTTTGAACCCTAAACCCTAAACCCTAAACCCCAAACCTTAAGCCCCAAAATCCTAAACTCCTAAGAACTCAAGTTCCCGCCCAAGACTTTGGAAGTCACCAGCTGCCGGCAGGATGTGGGCTACCAGGGCACCGTGGAGGCACACCTGCTTCATTGAAATATGATTATGGCAGTATGCATACTTCAATTATGGTAATATTCATACTGCAATTACGGTAATATTCATACTTCAATGAAGCAGGTGTAATATTGACTGATATTGGAACAGCAGTCAGTAGTCTGATCACGAGATTGCAGTCACATTGACATGGCATGAGTGATCTCTCACGGCAGTCTAGTCGTCGTAGTCCTATCTGGTGCCGACCTAGCGTGGGTTGAGGATTTCGGACATTCGTCCCATTTTTCATGTGGCGAGTCCACGTGTGGGTTGGCTGGCTGGCTGCTTTCGTTTGGTGTCGAGGAATCTTCAGACTTCTTGTTTAACGGTTTAGGCTTAGGGTTTATGGTTTAGGGTAGGTGTTGGGGTGATTTCTATTCACATCAATCCAAAGACCCTCACCAACACCCCCCCCCCCGGCAAGTATTCAGGCCTTTCAAAGCTTTGTCAAAGCTCTCCTAAACCCCAATCATGAAGCCCAAATTTAAAACAGTTTCTATCGTCCTAAACGCCCCTTGAAGATTTATGCCCCCCAAAGATGGAAGGTCGTCGGCAAGACCGTCACTGTCCAGGTGGAGACGGTGCAGGCATCGGGCCGAGGTTTGATCAGTGCGGGGCGAGCGTCTCTTCAGCGTTCAACATTAAAGGGTTTAGGGTTTAGGGTTCGGGGTTTAGGGTTTAGGGTTCGGGGTTTATAGGGTGTAGGGTTTAGGGGTTTCGCGGGTCACCGTGCCATGAACTCCAAACTGTCACCATCGACGAGGTTGTGGTGACGACAGTGACATCGAGCTCCTCATCTTCCACTGAATCTTCCACCGCTTCCACCACCGCAGCTCGACAAGATTCGGAGCGCTAATGTAGGGACCTTAATAATTATCCATACTATCTTTGGGGGTGTTCCGTAAAGGGGTCGATAAGGGTTACTATAAGGACTACTATAAGGGTTTGGGGTTTAGGGGCCGAAAGAATTACCAATACTATTATGGGGGTTCCTTGTTATGATTATAGTATAACGGGCCCCAAAACCCTATTCTAATTATGAAGGCCGCTATATTAGACCCTAAAAGCATCTGAAAACCCTGAAGCCCCGAAGCCCTGAAGTCCCAGATGTCCAAAGTGAGAAAGCCTACGAGTTCAACTTTTAATCTCAGCTTGTAAGCCCCACCCCCTACGTGTGTGGGGTTTGGGCTTAGGGTTCAGGGTTTAGGATTTGGGGTTCAGGGGTTTGGATTTAAGGTTTAGGGGTCATAGGGGTCGGAATACTTAGAGCATTCCTCTTTTTTGATTCCTGAATGTATCAAGTTCATAGAGCAGAAGCCACCATGAAAGTTAAGACTGGAGCCGGCGACTTGAATCGTTCGTTGAGGCTTTTGGGATTCATTTAAGTTGGGACACCCCACACCTACAACCCTAAACCCTAAGCCCAAAGCCCTGAACCCTTAATCCTAAAACCCTAAACCCTAAACTTCCGGTGACAAGTCCCTGTCCTCTGGCCTGGGATTGAGGGCCCTGATTTCTGAAGCAAGTTTCTCTCGCAACGCCAACAGCTAGAAGCCCCCTTTAACCCCAAACCCAAAGCGACAAGTCACCTCTGGGTTTAGGGTTTACAACTCCCTGAACACCCCAAACTCAACACCCAAAGGGCTGAGAAACCCGAGGAAAGTGAGACTACCACGACAACGGAGTCAACTGAGAGCACCGTCTCGACCACCTCGACTACCTCGACCACGTGCGGGGCTGAGGGTTGGGGAAGCTCTTCAGCCGGGTTGCCAACACTATTTTTGGCGTATTATAATTATAGTATGATGGGCCCCAAAACCCTATTAAGATTACTAAGGCCCTACATGATCGTTCAGGGTTGCAGGTTTCCAGGTTTCGGGGTTTAGTCTAAGGCTGAGGGTTTATTATGGGTTTATTTGAGCTGAAGGTCGGGCTCGCAAGTGCCCTAAACCTAAACTGGATGCTGTCGTCTTGTGGGTAGCCCATATAACCCTGTATAAGCCTTATATAAACTACATGCACCCTTCAACCCAGCACAACTCAAGAACCCCATAAGCCGCCCTAAACCCGAAACGCTAAACCCTAATGCTAGGAATCCTATGTCCTATGTACTATCGAAGCCTAAAGAGTTATCCATATTATTCCTTGGGATCCTTATTCTAATGATACTATAAATGAACCCCAAACCCTATTCTAATTACTAAGACCCCTACATTTGAGCATGAAGGCCGTAACCCTAAACCCTAAACCCCTGGGTATCTAGGCGTTAGCATGGCCTGGTTCTGCAAGAAGGACACTCGGAACGGGGCCCCTTCCTTCCAAGAGCTCCCTTGAAAGGAAACGGCTCTAGGGATGAGAAAGGGGGGGCCTAAAGAATTACCACTACTATNNAGGGGGGGGGGATCCTGAATATCCGTATAGAATAAGGGACCCCAATATACTCTACGAATTGTTTAAGGCCTGTACATGACTTCGAAGAGCTATTGTGAGTGGTGGAGGGTCTAAGGCCGTTCTCGGGCTGCCTCTTCAGACTTAGCTTTCAAGGGGTGGGGATGCCCCCTTTGGGTTGCAGGGCCTTCATGAACGATTTCAGAGGCCAAGTCGGGTTCCAGGTTCAAGGCTGGGTTATCGAGATACTGGCTAGGGGGTTTAGGATTGAAGGTGCATGTTACGGCTCAGGCAAGAAAGAAAAGCCGTGAGTGTAGCTTATCGTTACTCCGTTATTCTCCATCCGAATCCAAGTGGCATGTGCACGTGGCGATGTAAGTTTCCACTCCCTTTCGGACATTTGGGTGCAGACCCTAAACCCCCAAACCCCTACCCCCCTAAACCCATAACCCTCCTGCGAAGAAGGAGCCAATTTCCTCCGGAAGATCTCATCACAACTGATGATGCTACGTCTGTCAGGACCGGAGCTTACGCCATCAGTGCTTTTAATCTAGGGGGCTTCAATAGTTACCTATAGTATTTTTTTTTTTTTT